TCCCAATAGCTAAGAAGTAGAAATAACCCAAATTCCATCAACTGATGAAAGGATAAACAAAATGTGATATTTTGGACTATTTATCATTTTGGACTACAATGGACTATATAATAGTAATTCATCCATCAAAGGGACATGAAGTTTTGATACGTGCTACAACGTGGAAGAAAACATTTTGCTAAGTGCTACTGATATCTTGTTACAATGATATGTCATTAATTTTATGTGATTCCATACATATGAAATGTCCCAAATAAGCAAAGACAACACTTATTTTATAGAAGCTGCATCATAGAGACACCAAGTAGGTTATTGGTTGCCAAGGGTTTAGGGGTAGAGGGGAGTGAATGCTAATGGGGATGGGTTTCTTTTAGGGGTGATGAAAATGCCCTGAAATTAGTGGCGATGGTTGCACGATCTTGTACATATGACACAGACCACTGAATTATACATTTTACAAGGGTGAATTTTATGGTATGTGAATTATATCTTAATAAAACATTGGAAAAGGTTAAAGAAGGATCAGTTAAGCAGGAGGTTATGAATGATTTGCTTATGCTAGGAACAGTTTTAGCTTGTCATGATCTGGTTCCCTTATCTGTAAAAGATCTACCCCATTTTCCTCTTTGTGTCTCTGAAATGCTCTAACTGAATTACTAAAGAACTTTAGAACCTTTTAAATTCACGAATTTATTCCACAGAGTGAAAGCTGAAGTCCAGATGGGTTAAGTCACATTCCTGAGGTCTCAGGGCTGGTCAATGATACAACCAGGGCTAGATCCCGGGGAGTTAGGTAGCAGTGGACATATCATAGGACTCCCATCATGCTGCTACTGGGAAAGTTCTAAATGATTTTAAACCTACTATTAAAGGTTCTCTGAAAAAATAAAAAAAGGTTGTTAACGATACAAAAATGGCCCTGTATAAAGACAAATATTACGCAGCTTGACATCTAATTTTTTAAAAATAGTGGAGAACTTGTGTGCAGGTGGCTTGAATGCTTTATAGGTGAGAACACACTGAGCTAGAACCAACTCATTCTTCATTGTCTCATTGTTATCTTCTTTGACTTTATATTCCTTCTCTTCTCTTTATCCCATCTGCTTTCCTCCTCTTGCTGATTTTTCTTGCCTTTTTCAATCTTGCCTCCCTCTTTCCACCTGCATCAGGCTGCACATTCTCTGATTGCTTCTTTGTGTGACAATGGTTTTATGATATCATTTTCTAGACAGAGAATAGAGAGATAATTCAGACTTTCCTTCAACATGATTGATCGAAACTTGTTTTGTACCATTGATAATTTAGGGAAGCTTCTTTCAGGCTGACCACTGTATTGGAAATGTCGTGTGCATTTTTAGGATTGATCAAATTTGAGGGCACCTCAGTCAAATTTCTTTCCTCCGAAGGCTGTAAGAGTCCAAGGCATTTTGACTTTCCTTGTATGGTGATTAATTTTACATATTTTTTTAATTGACAAGTTTCATTAAAAATTGTGTTGATGGTATTGAGGTCTTGTTATAGTGGCATATTATGAACTTGATGCTCTCTTTGTTGATGTTAATGTTTTGCATCAGGTCAGCAAAAATTTTAAATCTTTTTTAATATGTTCAGGTAATTTACTATTCATCATTGGTTGGTTTGTCAAACAATGCAAGAATCTTTTCTGCAATTCTATTCGAGACCTATTTCTTTGTTTTGTTTTTTTTGATAAAGTACTTTTGCTATGTCCAAATTTTTTTTGGTTACAGTTGTCTTCTCATTTGTCAAAAGCATTTTAATTACATCATTGTTCATAATTATTGCCTTTGTTTTAGATTCCAGTCATTTACAATAGATTCCACTAAACTCAAATAAAATTTATACCTTTAGATAGGATTGGCCTCCATATGCCCATAAATGCCACCCATATAGATAACATAACAGAAAGTCAAAATAGAGAGACAGTGGTCAAAACCAATTGTTTAAAGTAATTTGCTTTGGCAAATTAAAAGAGAAACTAGACCACGTGGACATATTTCATTGAAAGGAGGAGACCTGAAGCTTAAACTTCATTGGCTTCACAATGTATGAGCCTCTGGTGGCGTGCTCTGGCTACATGTGTGCTACTGTATGAACACATATTAAGGCATATATATTTCTCCATGGAGAGCATGGCCCTGGTGCTTCCTCAGATTGGGCCCAGGTAAAATGGCTCCATGAACAAGGGATGATGCTTCACCTATACTGCAAATGTAGTTGGGCTCAGCTAGGTGCCCCCTTTGAGCAGACTGAGGTAAAGGCCAGACTGGGAGGGTACCTTCAGTCCCATTCTCCATAGTGTGACCCAATCTCTAGCAGTTTCCCCCTACCCTTCCTGACTTTTCTCATTTCCTCTCTCCTGACCTCCTCTGTAGAGGCCACAGAACGGGACAGCCTAGAATGCAGCCCTCTACCTGGGTTCAAATCCTGGACTTATGACTTAAGCTGGTCTAACTTGACTTCTTTCCTGGGAATTTTCTAACTGGATCTGAATGGTGAGATCTAAGGTAACCCCTGAATTGTTGGAGAAAACCAGTAACTGATGGAAGAGTTAGGAAAGAGGGAAGCCAAGCAGAAGCAAGAAAGGGGCGTGCCTGGAAGAGCAAGAGGGGCTCCAGCTCCTGAAGCCCATAGATGTCATGGCATCTATGCATGTCCTTCTAACACCTTCTGTTGTGGGGTTCAGGCTAGTTTAAATGGAATTTCTGTCCCTTGCAACCACAAATGTTCTAGGTGAGCTGTGTCCTCATACCTCCTTCTCCTGAGGCCCTTATCTCTGTAATGGTAGCATGACCCATTCAGAATCAGACCAGAGCCTGAAGTCATCCATAACTCCCTCTTTCTCCTTACTTTCTTAGAGCATCCACACACAAGGCACTGTGAACAGTTGTGCAGGTTGTTCACAGCACAAGTCCATCCAGCTGAGAAGGTGAATGGGGGCTAAAGTCCAGCCTGCTCTCTGCTTGCCTAATCATAAACCCCATAGGGCAGTGTCCTCAGGAGAAAAGGGGCACCTCTTTCTTTCTTTCTTTCTTTCTGTCTTTCTCTCTCTCTCTCTCTCTCTCTCCCTCCCCCCCCCTTCCTTCCTTTCTTTTCTTTTTTCAGAGTCTCTTTTTGTTGCCCTGGATAGAGTGCTGTGGCATCATAGCTCGTAGCAACCTCAAACTCTTGGGTTCAAGAGATCCTCTTGCCTCAGTTTTTCATTTTTTTAGTAGCGACAGGGTTTCACTTTTGCTTAGTCTGGTCTAGAACTCATGAGCTCAAGCAATGCAAATGCTTTGGCCTCCCAGAGTGCTAGGATTACAGGTGAGAGCCACTGTGCCCAGCCCTAACAGCACCTTTCTCTAATTGCACACACCCTATAGGATACTGGGGCCTTCTTCATGTGTACAACCTGCCCTCAGTGCAGAGACTCAGCCTCCTCCTCCAGACTGGTTAAAGAACCTTTCCCTTTGCTCCTATGATGTTCTCCTAACATATACACCCCTACTATATCACTTAATTCAACCATGATGTTTAAAAGTCCCACCCTTCCCCCAAATGTCTATTTCAAGGACAGGAATTGCATTTAGTGGTCTCTATTTTCACCCAGCACAGGACCTGGCATCTGTTGAATGAATAAATTCATGAATGAGCCCTAGGGTGTCTCAAAGAAGTGTAAAGAACCCCAAGTGACATCTGGGGAGGTGGCCAGAAGACAAGTAGAGGATCATTAGTAACAGAACAGCTTTGCAAGGCTCCTCAGAGATCCTGTGCTGGGACAGCAGATCCTCAGAATATATAATGATGCTGTTCCTCCCAGCATCCATCTTGCCTGCATTCCTGAGGGCCCCGAACTTGACTAATGAAGGCCTTGAAAGTGGCCTTATAGGGTTTGCAGGAAGGAAGTCTTCAGAGCTGGGATGTAGGTGCTGCTGAGCTCCTAGTGGCAAGTGTGTATGTGTGTGTGTATATTGAAGGTAGGGAGGCAGTATATGAGTGGGGAAGAAATGTTGCCAAACAGTGGACACTTGTTTACAGGGGCCTTGGACTGAGGGAGAGCATAGTTTCATGTGTATGTGTGCTCTCTTCCCTGTAGGTGCGTGCAGGTCTGTGGACATTGTGAGTGTTACTCTTGTTTCTCAATGCAGAGCTCAAATGGTACCTTCTCCAGAAAGCCCTCCCTCACCCTGGCTAAACAAATGACCCCCTCCTATGCTCTCAGAAAGTTTATACTCTGGTAAGAGTACGAATACCCTGGGAGGAGTACTTAACACCACCTGTGACAATGCTAGTTCCCATGTGCCTCTCTCCTCACAGACTGTGGGCTCTGTCTTCTTATGGGATCTGTTAGTGCCAGGATGTCCAAGTGTGGGGTTATTGGCTGAGTAGAGGTGTTTGTGCCTGTCTGGGCTTTTATGCTGTCCTCTTGCTGTTACACCTGTCGCTAAGAGCCTGTAAGTACCATGCAGCTTACCGTGCTTCTCCACACTTGTTTAGTTTTTTCTGTAATGCTGTGACCATCTATCACATCCTCTACACCCAAGAGGATGCAAAGTAGCACCCAGGGCCCCCACCTTCCAGTGGTCCTCTGGATGCCACCCCTGGGTTTGCTCTGTGTGTACCAGGGGCATGATTCTTAACCATGAATGCACTTCAGAATCACTTGGGGAGTTTTTGAAAAATACCAATACCTGGCCTTAGGTATCTGGGACAGATAAATTAAATCTAGAAGTAGGGTGGAGCCAGACATGGATTAAAAAGTACACAAACCTGTGCATCCTTCCATAAGAACCACTGACTCGAGTGTGGTGATACATGTCAAGAAACCTTTCCACATACTAGAGATATACCCAAGTCCTTTCTCCTGCCAGCGGCCTTCCTCTTTGGTATCAATCTCTTTGCTGCCTATGGGGGTCGCTGAGGAACAGCTGCCCTACCCTGGGGACTTTCCTGTGGATCCCACCCCAAGGTGCCCAGGAAAAACCGGAGCCACCGCGGTATAAATTAGCGTCTTTATTTGGAACACCTGAGCGAGCGCCCGCGGCTCGCCCACTTGACATATAAACGTACAAAGTCCCTGCTGCACCACACACCACGCCTCAGAGATAAATACAGCCCTAGGGGCTCCTGCTCTGGCAAAGCAACACTTATTTACAGGAATAGATTACAAAAGTATTACAAAAAGTGGTCCTGAACCGGGGGACGGAGTGGGGGTGGGTTACGGTTACACCTGCTGCACTTGGGACTGGAGTGCACCTGAGTGGATGTCGTGAGGGCTCCCCCCAAAAGAGGGCGCACCTCCTCCCCCCAAATTAACAGTGCGTAGAGGGGTAAGGCTTAGGTCTGCGAGGGTCTCAACTCCCCCTTCCCCCAAGGGGAAGAGGGCAAGGAAGAAGGACCTAGCCCCTCAAGGATCAGCTCTGGCCCAAGGAGGAAACCGATTGGCCATCGCGGCTGGTCTCCGCGAAGGATGTCGTGGGGGATAAACTGACTTAGTCCTTTCCCGAAGAGAGTGCGGGGCGGGGACGGAAACACACTTCAGTTCTCCTGCTTCTCCCGCCTCGGGAGGGGTCGCTTTTAAAGCGCTGTTGGAGGGGGGCATTTAAGCTCAATCTTCTGGGTTCGAGGGACCCTAGGGGCACCATCCCTCGGGCGAGTGGGCAGCTGCACCCTACGACTCGGCCGCCCGCCCCCTCAGAGCACCTGGTAGATCGGGTTGGGGTTTGCGCCCGCAGGGCACTGTGGGGCGGCGTCCGGGGACGGGGTTGGGGCGCCGAGTTCGCCCTCGTTTTGGGCGGTAGCCTCTTGCGGGCGTGGAGGCGACCCCGGTGGCGCGTCGGCCAGCAGCAGCGCGGGCGCTGCGGGACTCTCGGTGGAGATGCGCTCCACGATGCTGGACAGGCAGTCTAGGCTCGACACCGCTGCATTCTTCCCGGGCCGGGCTTCTGCGCGGGGAGGAGTAGGTTAGTGAGCAGGGGTGAAGCCGCGGACAAGTCTCCCACTCCTGAAACCAGTGCTTTGGGGCAGCCTGGAAACTGAGGACCCGTCAGAGTTGGGGACGAGCCAGCAATAGTGTAAGGCGGAAAGAGAGTGAGCTACACGATTAGTGTTTCACCACCTCCAAGGGTATATACATGGGGCTTGATAAAAGGAAGCCAGGGCAGCTCAAAGTGGGACATAGGACAGAGGAGCGAGCAGGGCAAAGCCCAGAATACGCACCGCTGGGCGCCTCGCTGTAGTAGGCACCTTCATAGCAGTTTCGCCGCCGGGTGCCACTCGGGGGACCGCTGTAGTCCATCTGGAAACGGCAAAGGCGACCAAGTCAGGCCTGTGAGACCGCGTGGGGCCCAAACACCACTCCCTGTAGCCGCCCCCTTCCCAACTTTAGTTCAGCCTTGCACTGTGGGCTCGAATCTATCCTGGGTAGGAGTAGGGGTTAGGATGGGCAAGAACTGAGCGTTCAGGGCCAAACCGAGGCTGGACAGCCGCCCAGGGGCTCAAGTTTGTATTTTGGAAGTAGGAATAAGATCTTCACGTCGCTGCATCAATATTAATAGCGCCCTAAATCCAGCTGATCACATCCGTCCCGCACCCTTCCAAGGCACTAGGCTACCTCAGTGACAGTTGCCTAGGACAGCACAGTCCATCCTTGGGAAGGATCCTGACCCAAAACCTTCCAGAAGGCCAGCTCCCTGCTTTCAGGAGCGAGTCCCAGAATCCCAAGTGCTGCCTCCATTTCTCGTCCCACCCGGGGTCCCGACCTTACCATGCCGTCGGAACAGTTGGAGCGCGGACTGGACGCGTCTGAGTCGCCGCTGTAGTGCTCGCCACCGCGGCCGGGGGGCAGCGGGCCGGGCGCATAGAAGGCGGTGGCGGCACCAGGGGGCGCGGCGTCCTGTTCGCGCAGAAGAGCCTGCAGGCCCTCGATATAACGGATAGCATTGCGCAGAATCTCTACTTTGGGCAACCGCTGGTTAGGATTGCTCGACGTGCAGCGCTTGAGGGTCTCAAAGGCCTCATTAACTTTGCTCAGGCGGCGCCGCTCGCGCATGGTGGCGGCCTTGCGGCGGTCGGCGTTGGTGGTCTTGCGCTTGCACGCCTTGCAGGCCCACAGTAGGCAACGGCCTGCCTGGTGGTGCCCGCTGGGCGCGCGCACATGCTCGTCCTCGCGCGCACCGGGGGCTGGGAGCACGGCAGCGGGGAAATGAGAGTGTTCCTCTGGCTTCAGAAGCGCGCCCACGTGCACCAGGCGCGGGTCCAGGTCCTCGAAGAAGCGCAGGTCCGGGGAGTCGAAACATGGGTCGTCATAGAAATCGTCCGCTGTGGCAAAGGAGCAGAGAGAGCCGTCGGGGCCCGTTAAGTCTACGTCACGGAGCGGCGGCGACAGTAGCTCCATATTCCAGCGGGGGGCGGCAAGGTCCTGGCTTCCCCCAACAGAAGAGGAAGGAGCCTCGGCTGTGTGAGAGCAAAGTGCTGGGAGTCTGAATGCACACCCAAGTGCCCCCTTACCCCGCCCTATCCCGTCCGACCTGACTAGTAGCGAGGGAAGAGGCGGCAGCGCCCGGGGGCTTCCCCACCCCTATACTTGCCAGGCGCCCTGGGCTATTTATCTGTAGTATAGCCTGAACTCCCTGAGCGGGCGCGGACAGCTGGAGGCGGGGGTGCCCGAGGCCAATAGGAACAGAGCTGGGCGGAGCTGGGGGGGGTCCCCTGGGTGGCTGCAGGGGCTAGAAAGTGTCCCGCCCTCCAGCCCCTCCCCGCTAGCGCGCGCGCGCGCTCTATTCTCTCCCTTGGCCGGGAGAGAGGCAGAGACTGGCAGTCCGACGCGGCTGTACTTGGATCTCCAGCACACCCTTTCAGACCTCTCCAGCACCCAACTCCTCCTGTGTCCGCGGCAAACGCTGGCCACGGGCGCTCACCTCCGAGCTAACTTTGAGCTCTCCGCTGTCCCCTGATTTGTGGGGGAACCAGGAGTAGAAATCAGGTCGGGAGAGATTTGGAGAGATGCAAGGCATTGGGGAAGAAATACACAGAGCTGAGATAGTGAGACAGGGACAAACCCAAGGAGGCTGACAGATACTCAGGGGGCCACTGCCCTGGGAATCCCTCAGAGGGTCTTGGGCCCAGGATGCTCAGAAGCCCAGCCCCGTCTATACAGAAGCTGGGGATTGCTGCTAAAACTTTGCTCTAATCTCTCCAAACTTGGGTCCTGCCTGGGTCAGGACTCCCACCCATCTCAACCTGCAGATTTCTGCAGCAAGGTGTCCAGTACCATGGCCTGTGGTCTAGACTGAGTTGCCTCTTAAGCTGGGTAAAAAATTCCACTCGTTTGGAGTTTGTCTTCATGGCCAGGCTTGTGGTGGAATCAAGCACTACCACCAAAATTCGAAATGAATATTGGACTATTGGACTTCCAGGTGAAGCTACGGAGTAAGCAGGAGATTCATAGGGCTGGAATTCCAAAGAAGAGGTCTGGGCATGAAGAATACCTGTCCACTCTACCTCTAAGACATGGCTCAAGTCTGTCCATCCCCAGTGTCACCATGGACTAAGCTGTCATACTACTGGGCTGGACAACTTCAATAACCTGGCAACTCTCACTCCACTCTTACCCCTGGATTATCTACTCACTACACAGCAGCCTGAGTAGATCTTAAAAATGTAAATGGAACTATATCACTCTTCTTATACAAACTCCTCAAAAGCTTCTTACTGCATTTCATTATTGGACCCTAGTATGCTCTGCATGAGCTGGCCCTAGCCTATGTCTCCAACTTCATCTGGATCTCTCTCTCTCTCTCTCTCTCTCTCTCTATATATATATATATATATGCAGAGAGAGAGAGAGATCTATAATATATATATATAGAGAGAGAGTCAATATATATATATATTTGAGACTCTCACTCTCTCTCTCTCTCTATATATATATAGAGAGAGAGAGAGTCAATATATATATATATTTGAGAGTCTCACTATGTCACCCTAGGTAGAGTGCTGTGTTGTCACAGCTCACAGCAACCTCAAACTCTTGGCCTGTGATTCTCTTACCTCAGCCTCCCAAGTAGCTGGGACTATAGGCGCCTGCCACAACGCCCTGCTATTTTTTTGTTGTAGTTGCCATGGTTGTTTGGCAGGCCCGGGTTGGATTTGAACCTGCCAGCCTCAGTGTATGTGGCCAGTGCCCTACCCACTGAGCTACTGGCACAGCCCATCACCTGGATCTAAAGTCCCTTTTGATCACTTCATTCCAATTAGCCTGACCTTTCCTTTCTTCCAATAATCTGAACAACATTCTGCCTTGAAGTCTTCTACCTGTGGCTCTAAGCTTGTAGCATTGTTCCTGGGCCTCCCCCCCGCCCCCCATTGGCTGCTTTTCCTGTAACAGCTCTCAGCTCAGACATTGCCTGCTTGGGATGTCTCTGACCATTCTCTCTAAGATAGCTCCCTCCTTTACTCTGGGTCACACCATCCTCCTCCTTTTCTTCTTGGCAGTACCACTCTTTACGATCTTCTTTATTAGTTTGCTCATGACTAACTTAGCCCCATGAAGGCAAGGACATTTTTTTCACAATTTCATTTCCAAAGACCAGTACAGTAGCAGTCACCTAGTAGGCACTTGATAAATGTCCAATGAATAAATGAGTGATTTCATGCCTTTTGGATCTCTATAGCATGTATTTGAACTTCTTAAACTGTGACAATGAGGAAGGTTATATTTCTTCAAAAGCAGACAGTCACAAACATGATTAGATGATTAGACATCCATGCTCTGTTACATTTGCCCTTCCTAAGCAAGGCTCAGGCCATGTGCCTGGGATGTGTTGCCTTATACTAGACAAATATACATGGCCTGCTGCAATGTCAGACTGGTATACCTCAGAGAGATTAGGTTTTTACTAAGCATGAGTCTCGTCATTTGACTTATATTCATGCTGAGGAATGAGCTAATTGTTTTATTAATGACTTAGATTGAAACAACGATTTCTTCTTCCTAGTTCAAGCCTTAGCAGAATGCCTGATGCATAGTAGGCCCTCAATAAATATTTCTTAGGTAAATGAATGAAGCGATCCACTTAATTGAAGAGTACCCTAAGATTCCCAGGTGAGCTCTTCAAATCATGTATTTATGCAAGTCTAGATTTTCCTCAAAGCTGAGCAAGCAAAGAAAATACAGAAATAAAATGGATGTTGAGACTTAGTGATTGAAACTTTGTTTTGGTGTTTCGTGTTCATAAAAGCTTCCTTCGGGTTGTCATCAAGGTGCCTTTATAATAAATAAGTAAATGTTATACGCTTGAACCTACCAAACATGTTTAATATTTTATCACTTGTGATTTCTAAATCTAAACTGCTTTGACAGTTTTAAACTTGACTTGTAGCTTCACCTTCTTCTGTAACTAGGAAACACTGTTTTAAAGCACACAGACATTCTAGTGGTAGAATGCCACCTTTATTTTAAGCTTTCAAGTGGAATTTTCATGGTCTACAAGGTTTTCTCTGCTTAAAAAAAGTTTGGAACTCGCTCAGCTCGGTGACCTTTACAGACCTCTCTGGACCCACACCTACCTGGGATCCCCCTTCTGGCTGTGATCTTTGGAGAGAGGATTGTCACTCAGTCATACCATCCCTGTTACCCAAAGAGCAGAAGTAAGTATGTCTGCCCTGGGACCTGGTGTCTTTTTAGTCCTAGGAATGGGTTGAGGGCAGAGAGGGAAAAATGACATCGAGTTTGGAAGCTGAGAGAGTTCAAATTCTTACACTACGGAGTCTCCTCAAGGGTGCCCCTTGTCCACAGGTGCTGAACTTGTTCTTGGGAAAGGATATTGGCAATGGGCTTAGGGACCATGGAGGGAGTTCCTGAGCACCACTTCTTCCCTCCAATGCCAGACTGAGTAGTTTCCTGGGCTTTGTGACCAGGGCAAGAGCACACCTCACTCTGGTCCTTGCTTCTCCAGTCTTCACAAAGAGGGCCTCCTTCAGCGGGAGGCAGGGAGGGAGCTGTCTGGGCTGTACCTTCTCCCTCTGCCCTTTCTAGTCCTCTCTACTCAGCTCTCTCAGCTGCCTGTCCAGAGGCTATAAATGGAAAGCTGGCCTCTGGGTAGGAATGTGGCCTGGCTGGGCCCCTGCAGTGTTGCACCCTCAGGGAGCAGCCAGCCCTGGAACTCCCGGCAGCCTTTATATATATATAGCCTCTGGAAACCCAATCCAGACTGCACCTGCCCCAGTCCTCAAACACCCCTGCCCCTGCCCAGGCTGGACCTGTGGCTTCTGCACTTGGCCTGGCACAGTCTGCATATATGGCTGGGAGAGGGGGTTAACAAAGGTCCAGAGGATCAAAACTTGAGTGGCCAGTTCCCACTCAGTTCCTGGATCTACCCTGGCCCCTTTGTTCCCTACCAACTTTGCTCCCTGCGAAAGTCTGAATCTGCCCACCACATGGGTATAGATCCTGCTCAGGGGCCAGTCTGGGTTGCTCAGGAGGGACTGCGATATTCCCAGGGCATAGACATGGTCCCAGATTTTGGACCAGGGTCCTAGAGATTCTCCACAGAGGGCCACACTTCCCCCTTTGGGGGTACTCTCCAGCCTCCCACAGACAAGCAAGACTTGGGAGTCTGGTAGATGAGCTGGGAGTTGGAGAAGAGGGGTCCACGTGCAGGGAGAAGGGAACACGATGACAAGAAATGGCATGTCCCTCCCCACAGGGTGTGGGTGGCATGTGCTCTGTTGGGGGGCACACCCACTATCAGTTGTCCAGTCTATGATTCATTCACTCTTTCAACCACATTATTCAGTTGCTGGGAATATAGCAGTGAACAAAACAGGCGATCTTTTCTTCCCTCGTGGAACTGATACTCTGACAGGGCAAGACAGACAATAAACCACACACAAAATAATAAGTTATGTAGCATGTTAGAAGGTGATACATGCAGAAAAATATTCAAAACAAAGCAAGATGAGTAAAATTGGGCTCTCGGGTGGGGCTGACTGCAGTATTAAATACAGTGGTTAGGTTGACAAGGTGATGTTTGAGCAAAGAGTTAAAAAGGGTTTGGGAGGAAGCCATATGTTGTCATGTCATCTGGGGAAGAATACATGAGCAGAGGGAACCAATAAAGCTCAAGCGCCTTCTATGGGACACACAAGGGCTCCTGAGGTGCAGACAGGTGTGGCCCCTGGCCTCCCAGAAACCTGGAGCCTGGCAGATGGGCATGTACATGGCATGAGATAGACTTTGAAGATGGGGTTTGATGGATGATTCCTTACTTTTTTTTCCAGCTGAGTCTCACTTTGTTGCCCTTGGTAGGATGCCATGGCATCACAGCTCACAGCAACCTCAAACTCTTGGGCTTGAGCGATTCTCTTGCCTCAGCCTCCCAAGTAGCTGGGATGACAGGTGCCCACCACAATTCTTGGCTATTTTTAGAGACGAGGTCTTGCTCTGGCTCAGGCTGGTCTCAAATTCGTGAGCTCTAGGCAATCTACCTGCCTCGGCCTCCCAAATGCTGGGATTACAGGCCCAAGCCACCATGTCTGGCCCTTGATTTATTACTTCTAATGAAAGGATTTCTT